TCCCGAAAATAAGGATCGCAACCTTACGTTTCGATTCAAAATCATTCTAACGTATGAAGAGCACCCAATGTCCCTCCTGTGAATCACAACATAACCATCCCACAAAACCCGCCATACTCACGGTGATGACGCAATACCCAAAAACAGAACTTTTATGATAGGGACTCCTAAACATTTGAAATTCCCAACAAGACAACGGCACAAAGGAAAACATTATACACCCCCGTGCCTTACACCACACAAACAAGGACCGAACAAGTCGAAACGACTCTAACAGAATGCCACACTCACTCTACACAACTTTACTACCTCACTTGTGTTACCACTATCCAAACTGGACGACAGACACTTATACCGAAGTGACCCAGCTTTACCAAACATCGAACTACTCGATTCCATCCGTAACCACACTATCGCCTTGCCAAGGCCTTCTCTTAGGGTTCCCTAAGATCGTTCCCCTTCTACACATCAACTAATAACAACATATTATTTACTCCATTCATTTCAAAGCACTCGGTTTTCCAAAAGTATTCAGACTTATATCGTCACCACTTAAACACGTCATTTATAATTGGCCACCGCCGAACTCAAAGACTCTCCTCAAATTATTTTCTCGAAAATAAGGATCGCAACCTCACGTTTCGATTCAAAATCATTCTAACGTATGAAGAGCACCCAATGTCCCTCCTGTGAATCACAACATAACCATCCCCCAAAACCCGCCATACTCACGGTGATGACGCAATACCCAAAAACAGAACTTTTATGATAGGGACTCCTAAACATTTGAAATTCCCAACAAGACAACGGCACAAAGGAAAACATTATACACCCCCGTGCCTTACACCACACAAACAAGGACCGAACAAGTCGAAACGACTCTAACAGAATGCCACACTCACTCTACACAACTTTACTACCTCACTTGTGTTATCACTATCCAAACTGGACGACAGACACTTATATCGAAGTGACCCAGCTTTACCAAACATCGAACTACTCGATTCCATTCGTAACCACACTATCGCCTTACCACGGCCTTCTCTTGGGGTTCCCTATGATCGTTCCCCTTCTACACGTCATCTAATAACAAAATACGAATCACACACTATCACGCACTGTACTAGGAAAAACCTCATCATTTAATGCACGCTATCTTACTCCCATACTGAATCCCTCATTCAGAGCTTTCACTCGCCACCTCGACTGAACTCATAATAACAAGATTTGCATACTCATTCCCTCGTACCGAATTAGCTGACAAGGGTTCACCACACCACGACACTTATCACTACTACGTAACTGTTCGTACTGAACACAAGCAAACATAGCACCTTCCCCCCCTTAATGACCTACAGGGTCCACTCTTTATTCCACTTTCTACTTGTCACCAGAGTACAATCAAGCCACTAAGCCTCCTTGCCAAACCATTAGCCCTTGCTACTGCTGAACAACCACTCCGAACCAAACCCCGGCACAATCGCATGTCGCCGACAAGGCTTTTAAAGACTCACCATCCTAGCTTTCTAGAAGAGTAAAGGTCCTCATCCTTCTCGCTATCATCTCAAACCTCACCTGTAAACACCATACCACTGTGACTCTACTCACAGATCACACCCTAACCACAGGTTATATACTTACCCAACCCCACCGACAGCATCTCTTGACCTAACCGGTATTAAGGTACAAACCTATCGCATTCGACCATTATAAAGGAGTTCAGAAACTTAGGAAACACCTAATATACCACTGCCCAAGGTATAACACCAGCTACTCTTAACACACCACTCCCCGATGCCAACAACCACAATCTTACATAAGGACTAACACTCCCTCAATTAAAACAACCAATCAGTACATATGCAAAATTGGCGACGTTACCTACCATGAAGGTATAAGTCTATTCCTAACGAAATTATGCGCTATGCCTCCGTAAAACATCATGTTAAATATACAAAACTCAGTGTTAATAGCACACATTGCACCCTCTCGAGGAGTTCTCACGGCAAAAGACCAAAATCTCTACCACTTACATAAGATCAAATAGATAACACATATGAGATTCCGTACTTCCGGCAAGTATAACTATTCTCGCCCCATTGTGGTCCTGCCTAAGATACACATCCCTCAATAATTCTTCTAGATTTGAAAACATGGTTACCAGCCCTCGCTTCTCTAAACCAAATCACATGCATATAAATGCATTTACACAAAAATTTTACAATTTCACAACAACTTATTACGTTAATAAAACTTTAGAGCCATAACGTGCTCCAATCTGTCCATTCCATGGAAATTAATAAGCAAAAGCATATATATATATATAAACAAGTAGTTTTGATGTTTCAACATTCCCAAAACACATTGGTTACACATAGAACCCAATGATTACAAAACGATAATTCATCGATTACAAAGCGAATTAGTCAAAACAAAACCACCCCATCGGTATTACCACTGCCACCGTTCTTCGCTGGACCACTAAAGTTGGTCATTCTCAAACCCAAGACATCCTACGAGCTTACAAGCCACGGACAAGAACTACAGATGTGCCCCAACTGGCCACACCTGGAACAACTGCAAATTTTCCCAACTAGGGCTTGGGAACTCGACTCTCCGGAGGCCCTCGAAATCTGGCCTGTTTGTCCCCCAAAACGGTATTGCCCCTATCCAGTCGAATAAGGCTGGACCCAACTAGGTTGCAAAACTCCCAAAGAAGCCCCTGGCTGAGTACAGAAACGTTTGATATGACCTGGCTGATTACACACCCAACAAGTAAGTGGCTCCCAAGCATGAGACTAGTTTAAAGTCTAAGCTGATGGAGACCTCAACAACGGCTTCCCCAATGAGCATTCGATCAACCCAAAACCTGGCTGGCTAGATGATTCTGGTGGGGCAGTTACTGGTTGAACTGCCAACCCTGCCCTCTTCCTTTGTGGGCAAACCGAAGACTTGTGGCCTAGCTGACCACATCTGAAACAACCAGCAGACCCCCTATTCAAAGACTGGCCTGAAACCTGAACCTCTCTGGACCTCCCAACAGAAGAGTCCGAAACCCCTGGCGAAGAAAATGACTTAGTCTGGGATGGAGCATACTTTTGCCTCCACCTCTTACTGGGCCTAGAGTACCTACAAACCGTAGGAGCTACCGAGATGGCCTCCTCCCTAACCTGACCAACACTCACAACCATGGACTCTTCCCTATTTTGTCCCATAGTTAGCACCGCTGCCTCTACATGAGCTGTCGCCGTAACGAGCACACTATAGCTCCTATGCCAAGACCCAGCAATCCTTTCTTGGATATCGTCACACAGCCTACTCTCAAACTCTAAACAACGCAATTCCTCCATCTCCACCAATTCTGGGGCAAACCTTGACAGGTTAGCAAACCATGCTTTAAACTGTACCAAAGGTGTAGTACCTTGGCGTAACTCCACAAACTGTTTCCGCAACTCTTCCCGTGTGGAAGGAGGGAAATCAAAACTTCCTCGTCTTGGTATCCTAGTAAAAGTAACAAAGGTATTAGTACGTTTTCAAATGTACCGAAGCTATTTCACTTGCGCCCTAAAGCATTGGACAACTGTAATTCATTCCACGTAAGCACATAATCACATAAGCACTTACGAATTTCATTTCCGGGTAATGACAGTCCCGAGGTGTTGCTAGAATTCCAGTTAAAAATAGCATTGATCAAGTGCTTTTCCAACAGGACTCCCAGAAACCCAAGGATCCAATCAACATCCTAGAAACTAAATCCCATACCCATATAGTCACATAAACATGTTACCAAATAAACATATAACATCAAGCATAAGTCTCTAACAAGCGAGACAAACCCATTGTGGTACTAACCACTTCCCGCGTACCCAAAGTATTCGAACCTGGTACGCTCTGATACCAAGTTGTAACGCCCTCAAAATAATACATAAATCCAACATCTAACGGTTCTATATAAATGAAAGATAGGTCACTTTTCCAAACTTACATCAGAGTTAATATTACAAAATGAGTCTTTCATATAAATTACAAATGTTTACAAACAAAATAAAATGCCCTGCGGGCTTACACCCTTCCAAGTTGTTACTTGGTTACACAAAAGAAGTGTTCTAACTCTATTACAGATAAACCCCTCGGCTTGTATTTACATGTGATCAAATAAAACAAATGATGAAGTAGAGTCTTCAACTCCGAAAACCCCCAAAGCAAAGATCTGGAACTTAACACGCCTCTTGCACCTGAAAATGGTGTCCCAAATAGGGTGAGCCAAAGCCCAGTAGAGATATACTAAACCCCATATGAGAAATAACTAAAATATTAACATTTGACAAATGAATAACACAAGTACACCAATTTACATCCTTCTCATAATCCGACCACAATCACAATCATGCTACCACCCACTTCTCTTAGTTAGCCAATTCAATGTCTAAAGATGGTTCATTATCTAACCAGTCTTGTCCAACTTAGAATTCCCAACCGAGATGATGTACTCCGGTTGGATGTACTCCGGTTCGAAGTGTTGATTTGTTCGACTTAGTTACAGCCGAAGTGGCTATTTCAGTTCCTGAATTTGTATTGTTCTGCTGAAGTGTTTAGACCGTGCTATGTATTCCGGTTAGGTGTGTTTTACCGAAATGTTTGCTGAAGACAGAACTGAGTACAACCGTGCATACACTTGCAAAAATTTGAATTTTCATTGATAAGAAATTCATAACTTAGGATTCCCAACCGAGATGATGTACTCCGGTTGGAAGAGTTGGTGTCTTGTCCAACTTTGGATTCCCAACCGAGATGATGTACTCCCGTTGGAAGAGTTGATTTGTTTGACTTTGTTACAGCCGAAGTGGCTATTTCGGTTCATGAATTTGTCTTGTTCTGCTGAAGTGCTTAGACCGTGTTATGTATTCCGGTCGACGAAGTGTTCAAACGATGAGTTATACCGAGATGTTTTGCTGAAGACAGAACTGATTACAACCGTGCATACACTTGCAAAAATTTGAATTTTCATTGATAAGAAATTCAGTACAAAGGTGGGGACAGAGCCCGGTTACATCCAAAGTATTGAAAGCAAAAATACAAAAAAAGAACAAGAGAACTAAACTAGGGGGGAGAGATTGGTGAACTCGTCCTCGCCAGCATCCAGGTTGATGGTAGGACTGACGTCTTCGACACCGGGCTCAGCATTGCCGGGCTGCTCTTGCACCTCGGCCTCCTCTGCCTCAGAATCTGTGTCACCCTCTCCGTCCTCAAGTCCTTCCTCAGCCTCCGCTTGCAGGGCGCTGAATACGTCGTTTGCGTAAGGCACAAGGTAGACCGGTAGCGAAGCTGGAGGAGGGTTGGCAAATACGTCGGTGTCGGAGCCTTGGCTGAGGTGTTCGCAGGCGGACTTCCAGCCGGCCTTGAAGTAGATGTCTTGAGTAGCGAAGACTTGCTTTTTATAGCTCTGCTCGGCCTCGTTAAAACCGGCGTTGTTAGCAGCCCGGTAAGCTTTCTTCTCTGACTTCTTGAGGGTGTCCACCTCGGTCTGGAGCTCACTTTGTTTCTTCTCGGCTGCATTCAGCTGACCGAGCAGCCTATTATTATCCGCATTGGCCATCTCGAGAGAAGCTTTAGCCTGGCCGAGCTCGGCTTGAAGGCTTTCAACCTGGCTGGCAGTGTCGTTGGCTTTCTGCCTAAGCCGGTGGATGCGCTCCAAAACCAAGTGTTGTTTTTGAATGGCCTGCACAAATTGACGGTGTACATCAGAAAGGAGACCGAGCAGAAAGGAAACCGAACAAACACTTATGAAATTTTTCAAAGCAACATCCACTTACCCTGGCCATGGACTTCACCGACGATTTGACCAACCGGGTGTCTGGGACGTGGTCGCTGCCGACCACGTCGCTCGGTAGCAGCAGGGCCTTGGTCAGATCAAAGGCGAGCAAATGCTCTTTGTCAGCTTTGATAGAAGCCGTTGCCGGGATGTCCTGACCCCGGTGCTTCAAATGTGGGCGCCAGGCCGTCACTGGGGCGGGTCAGTTGGGTGCTCGGTGGTAGCTCGGTGACTAGCTCGGCGGACGGGTCTGCCCGAGCTCTTTTTCCGGCCCGACGTGCAGGGGCTTCTCGCTGATGCCGGCGGATTGAGTGGCAAGGGCGACCACGGCGCCATGGATTGACCGGCGGTTGGCGACCGAGTTACTACGCTCGGCACCTCGGCGGATGTGGCGGTGAGCAGGTTTTTGATTCGACTTCTTTTGGCCATCTCTTGCTCGTCTGTCAGCCGGATTAATGGGACGTCTGGTAGGGTTGGATCTGGAGGTGGCGAAGGAGCTCTGAGGAAGTCGGTTACTCTACTCCGGCGCGGGGCAGAATACCTATATGTCGGTGTATAGCCGAGTAAATCGTTGCAATCCCGGTGACGGTACCTAAGCACGGTCCGAATTGCTTCGACGTTGGGGAATTGGTAGTTGGCTTGCAAGGCTTGGATAGCTGCAAAAGAAACAGGGAAACCGGTTAGTTAAAAACTAAAGAATTAAGTTCACCGAGCAAGTTTGAGTGGCTTACATGAAGAACCGAAGTCCTTGCTTATGAACCAGCCCGGCACCTCGGCGGTTTCATAATTGCCCGACACCCAGAAAAAATCATCGTCGTGAAGATCTTTATCCGGGGTGCCGGTCACAATCTTTTCTTTGCCCGGTCTGATCTTCAAGTAGTAAGCTAAGCCGTCCCCGGTATGGCCCATTGTGTATTGCCTTAATATCTCGGCTAGACCCAAGTTGGTGCCTAGCCGATTGTTCAACTCGTGAACGCCGTTGATTATTCTATAGGTATTGGTTGACACTTGGGTGGGTGCCAGCCCGGTGCGGCGGAGGAACTCGGTTATAAGAGGGTTAAGTGGAAAACGGAGGCCCCCCTCAACGATCGAGAGCACGGTGAAAGGGCATTGGTCAACTCTTCCCCACGGAGTGGTCTCCTCTTCGGCCAGTTCGAGATGAACATCGGCCGGAATGCCGTAATCCTCTCTGAAAGCAGCTAGCGCGGCCGGAGTTTCCACTAGGAAGCGGAATTTCCCCATTTGTGGCCAGCTTAGTGTATCCCGGCTGGGGGGTTTGGCACTGGTTATTGGATGCTGCTCGGTCCTGAGAGCCTCAGGAATGACAGTGGTCCCCTTGGACTCTGCAGGAAAAGGATGGCAAGTGTTAGCGCGGTCGCGCAGAGGAGCTGGTTTTAGCTCGGTCGTTTAGGCTGCCAAACCACCTCGGTTATTTATTCGATCTACGGAGCCCGGTCGCCCAAGCAAACCAGATGTTAGCCCGGTTGAGCGACCAAGTCCTTTTGTTATTTCGGTTTTCGCTGGGGTCGAGACAAACTTGTTGTTTGCCCGGTTAGTTTGGTTTTTTTTGGATCAAAATAAGACCGAGAGCCCGGTTCGCCCCAGTTCTTCAGTGTTCTTCAGGAAGACGAAGAACACCAAGAATAGTAGGAAGTTTTAGACGTTTTCTATGGCCTATGCCCTAAGGACTACGTTTTTGTGCCCTAATGTGTGCAATATGAACGAAAATAGCAACAGAATAAGGGTGGGATGATTTACCAGTGAAGGACAGGGTCGTGCCCCTCGAACGCGAAGAATGGTAGTCGGGTTTGAGGAGAAGGCTTGAGCTTTAGAATCGTCAGAAATGGAAGCAGCAGTAGGAAGAAATGGAATGATGGGGGGCATGTATGTATAGGTGAAAGAGACCGCCCAAATTCAAATTCTGGCAAAAACGCGCGGGTTGGCTGCCCGATGACCAATGGCAGGCCGCCACGTGTCCCCATTTATGGCTACGTCAGGAATGAAGCGACGGGTTGAAAAGACGAAGAGCCAACCGAGCTACTTTCGACGAAGAGGAGGTCAGCCGGGGAATATAACCGGTCAAGTCTGCAGATTACGTCGACTAGCCCGGTCGAGGCTTAGCGTCTTAAAGACCGGAGAAATGGTATCTCGGTCGAAGTGAGTAATCCCAGTCACGCTTCCGCGGACGGAATTAAGGGGCAATTGAGAGGGTGATTTGCGATCTGGAGTTGGGCCGAGGTAACGGCCGAGCAAGTTGAGGGCCCGACGATGCGTGGGTCCGAGATGATCGACTTTCTGTCCAGACTTGGGCCGGGCAGAGTTCGGGCTGAGGGTGTCACCCCGGACCGGACAGAAACTGCTCGGTAAGGCAGTGCTCGGTCCGAAGATGGCCAAAGCTCAATTGGCCGAGTGACCGGCGCCCGGGAAGGCGTGGACAACCGAGGAAGTTGAGTGACCGATGCCCGGAAAGGCATGGTCAGCCGAGGAGACTGTTTGACCGATAGGAAGGCCGATCAAAGTATCCGGGGTAGGCTCAGCCGGGATGCCGCCTAGCCCGGTCCTCCGTGTGTTTATCCGGTTAGGCGCTTGAAGTATGAAGCATGGCATGACCGAGGTAGAGCAGCTCGGCTGCCGAGCTCCAGCTGTGATGACAGGCAGTTGAGGTTAGGTGATGAATGGCATGGTTTATGCTGACAGATGGGATAGTAGAGCCACGTGTCAGGAGATGGCTGGGAGTGGATATGGGGCTCAGAAGGTATATAAGCATGTCTGCGCCCCCCATACAAAGGACGAACATCTCTGTAAGGAATTCTTACACTCAAACCCTTCCTCCCTTCTCTCTACTCCTCTTCTTAAGGTGTGTGCTAACTTGACCGTCGGAGGGTTTTTCCGGCCACACACCGCCGGGTAGCTCACCATTACTTGCTCGCAGGTGATCGGACATCGACGAAGCTCGGAAGAAAGGAATACGGGCTTGCCGAAATATTTGCTCCCCGTACAGTTATTATTAAGATTATAAAAATAAATTTGATGTTTGCCTACTACTTCAACATAAATTCTCCACCTTCTCATCCACCATGATATATTATGCTTAATCTATTGATACATATGCTTGTTCACAAATGTACATCAAAATTATCACTAAGATTGTATTTGGTTTATGAATTTGACTAGAGTTTTGAAAATGAAAAGAAAAAAAATGTGTGAAATATAATTTTATTTTATTCACATTTCACTTATCTTTTTATTTTTATTTTTATTTTTCAAATCTCTCACCAAATCTTTAAACCAAACAAACGTGAGTGCTTTATTATGATGATTTTAAATATAAAATGTAATTAAATTTTTCTATACTCGTTTAAAAAAGAGAGGATAATTTGTTAATTAAGGAAGATGGTGTCTTTGCCAAGCAAGGATGCCATAAAATATTAGCATAATGTTATGCATGTGATTAAATTTGCCTACTAAACTTTGGATACCATTTAATATGTATGCGGCTCAACTTTTTTTTTTTTTTTTTACAACAAAATCCTTACATCCTCCCGTAAGTCTAAGGCGGCACCCATTTCGAGATTATCAAGGTATCATATCATCCATTATAGACAAGAGATTATAATCTAAGAACTTGTACCGACTACTCAACATAAACTCTAATTAAGTCAAGACTTGTATAACGGAAGGTATTCAAACCCACGCCAAGTGCCATGTATAGTAGCAATTTGAGATCCTCCCTCCAAACCAACTGCGCACCATGGCTTAAAAGCAAAACTTAATAAAGAGGTTTTTTATATTTGAATAATATTTATTAATTTTTATATTTTAATTTTGGATAAATTACAAATATACCATTTGAGGGTTGCTTAAAATATTATTTGTTCTATGTGGTTCCAGAAGTTACACCTCATTTGTATATTAATTTTTTTTAAAACAAATATAAATATTTATATCTATATGTATCAATTTATTTATATCTATCTTTAACCCACAAGTTTTGTGGGAGTTCCAATATCTGAACCTTAATTTCTTAATTTTTTTGATTTTTTTTTTGAAAAAAAAACATAGCACTTATTAAATTCCAAGTCTTTTTAACTTCTCCAAAACACACACTTTTTTTTTTAACTTTTCACATACCTATTGCAAACAGTGAGTCTCCTTTTTGTTTTCTACTTCTTAACTTCTCACTTCTACACTTTCAACTTCAGTGACCACGTATGCAAACAGTAAGTCTTCTTTTTGTTTTCTCCTTCTTGACTTTTCCTTTTGTTTACTGTTTTAATATTGTAGTTAGATAGCGCAAAAAAATATTTGTGATTTGTCTTGCGAATAAAAAATTATAATTTGATTTTTTAATATGATTATAAACCATCACAAAGAGAAAAATGTGATTATAATTAGTTGAATGTTTTTTTTTTTTTAATGTGATTGTAGTTAGTTTAATAGTTCTTTTTTTTCATTTATTATTTTATTATGGGAAAAATGTGATGTGATTGTAGTTTGTTTAATGGTTCTTTTTTTTAATATGATTGTTGTACTTAGTTCAATGCTTTTTTTTTAATGTTATTTAATTTTTTTATTTACTATTTTAATTTTATTTTTAATATGATTGAAGTTAAATAAACATAAACACTCATAAAAAAAAAATGTGATTGTAATGTGATGTGATTGTAGTTTGTTCAATGACTTTTTTTTTTAATATGATTATTGTAGTTAGTTCAATGGTTTTTTTTAATGTTATTTAATTCTTTTATTTACTATTTTAATTTTATTTTTAATATGATTGAAGTTAAATAAACATAAACACTCATAAAAAAAAAATGTGATTGTAATGTGATGTGATTGTAGTTTGTTCAATGACTTTTTTTTTTAATATGATTATTGTAGTTAGTTCAATGGTTTTTTTTAATGTTATTTAATTCTTTTATTTACTATTTTAATTTTATTTTTTAATTTCTTAATTTTTTTGATTTTTTTTTGAAAAAAAAAAACTTAGCACTTATTAAATTCTTAACTAACTACAACAATCATATTAAAAAAAAGAGTCATTGAACAAAGTACAATCACATCACATTACAATCACATTTTTTTCTTTATGAGTATTTATGTTTATTTAACTTCAATCATATTAAAAATAAAATTAAAATAGTAAATAAAAAGATTAAATAACATTAAAAAAAAAAAACATTGAACTAACTACAA